ATCGAGAGTATTCGCGACTGAGAAGGGCATATGTATCAATCATGTGCATTGGCGATCCGCTGGTTCTGCTGATTCGTCAGTGAACGGCTTCAATCGATTCCCGTTTACTCCGTGGTCGCGCGTTCTCCTGTATTTTCCGTCCTCCCAACTTACGGATTCTCCATACTTGCGAAGGTTAGACGGACAAGACAAATGCGACTTGTCGCGTCGTCGCGCGCGGCGTATCGTGCGCAGTAAGTTTTCCATGTGCAGCGAAACTGGTATGAGTTCAGACGCTGGAAGACTCTATCACGAGCGATAAAAAAATTCCCGTCCCTTCAGCGCCAATATTCAAACGTATGGCTGGACTACTCGCATGCTGTGCGCGACGCCGCTTGCCACGCGCACCGCGCGATTGTCTTGTCACATACCCCTCGCGAAGTATAAACGCGACCCTAGAGGATTCATGCACTGCCTGGAGAATGGGATCTGATACTACCGTTTACAGGAAACTGGCAGTGAATTGCTGAATTCATTCAAATATGCCAATTTCTCCATCAACGAGGAACAAGATGTGGCAGCAGCAGCGCAACATCAGGTGACATCGAAAAACGGAGATGATAGTGGACCTGAATGGGACGCTATCATTCCGGAATCTGAACGTCAAAAAGTAGAAGAGGAAGAGCGAAGAAAGGTAAGGACTTCTCTGCGAAGTAACTTCTCTTTTGTGGTTTTCGCAAAGGAAATTGCTATAACGCGGCATATTTTCAGCTGGCTGCTGATCTTGAATTGGCTCCAAGGCAGCGTGTGAAGGTCGATATAGAGGAGGCAGATGATGGCGATATTTCCGCATCGGATGGTGAAGCCGAAAATAATGGAAAGAAAAAGCGCAAGAAGGCGTTTGGTGACTTTATGGGCGGAGAAGTGAAACGATTTGTACGCTCATTCAGGAAATTCGCACGGCCGTTGCAGAGGTGGGTGACAATTTTCGGTGGAAAATAGTGCTTTGAAACTTATGGAACTTATGTGTTTGTTAGTGAATGTCATGTCTTCAGACTGGAAGCTCTTGCTCAAGATGCTGAACTCGAGGAGCACAGCGCTGAGGAATTGAGAAAACTCGCAGAAGCGCTGTTGGAGGGTTGTGAGAAAGCCGAACAAGAGCATGAGATGAAGAAAAATGAGATTAAGGTCAGCGAAAGTCAAGTATTTCTTTTTCGATTTCTTTCTAAGTCTTATTTCTAGACGCCGGGAGAGTCTGAAAAGGCCGTCAAAGAGCGCGGGCCATGGTTCAAATTTGCCGGAGTGGCTGACGTCAATGTGCGTGCAATTCGGAAACTGCATAAGGAATTGGAACCCCTGCACACAGCATTAAGTGGTGATGGAGCTGATGAGTTCAAGCCGCCACATAAAGCACGGCCTCAAAAGGTACAGTTGCTATTACGAAAAGTTTTTGGTTGAAATATCCTTGCAATTTGAAGGGATGGGATGTTGAATGGTCTTCTGTGGACGATACTGCTTTATTACGTGGCGTATACAAGTATGGTATTGGAAGTTGGGAAGCCATCAAAATGGATCCACAGCTTGGACTTGCCGATAAGATCTTTCTCAAGGATAAGGTAGGATACATGATTGCAGCAGCGATAATCAGCGATTTTTTTATAAATCTGTGTAGCTGCTCAAGTTTCGTGGAAGCATTTGAGCTGGTTCGTTGCTGCGGATCCCCCAACGTGGGCCGCGTATAACCAATTTTAAAACCTTGAGTGTGCTGTGGAAGCTGGGAGTTTCGGAGGTTGAAAGAGGAGAGGGGCTGCCTTTAGCGCGGGGCCAGTCAGTCAGTTCCACTAGTTCTTTTCGCCTGACAGCTTCCAAAAAAGATGGAGAACGGACTGGCACCGCGCCAAGCCCAGCACCTCCTGGACCCCGGCTTCCGCAGCGAATAGACTGTACCCATATCTTCAGAATGGTTTTTATCAATCTGCCGCGCCCCGTATTCAAGTCATGCAACTTTTGAGCATAAGATTGTGTACAAGTAGCTTTCATATGCTTGAAGTCAATTCATGTTTTTGAAAACTTGGCCTGTATTCTTTAACGGGGCCCATGGAGCTAGATTTTGGGCTAAGTGGCGGAAATGGCAACCTATCATCTGTATCGCTTTAGGTTCGAAAGCCACAACCACGACACATACAGCAAAGGGTTGACTACTTATTGAAATTGATGGACAAATCTCTCAACGGGACCAAAATGATGCGTGCGCCAAATACAACCAATCGGAAACGCAAAGCGCCTGACGACGATCAAGGGAAACCTGCTCCGGTTGAAGAGAAGGTATGGAATAAAGTCTTGTCTCAACTTCAGGGCTACCCGCAAACCTTTGCTTTTCAGAAGCGCCGTGAGAAAGAACATCACCACCATCATCATCACCATCATTCTCATCATCATCATCAACAAGCAAAACACAGTCCACAGAACAAAACGATCGTTGACCAGTTGGCGTTGGTGGCCATAGAAAAGTCGATTTATGGTCATGCCCTCGAGGACACTAGTGATCGTCCCTTCTCAGGTGAATCACATAAGTAGTACCGCTTACATTCACACGACAGTCTCGTTGCAGTCTCCTGACTTGAGTAAAGGACATTCATTTTATGAAAAAGACGGACTTCGCGTCGACGCGCGTCAAGGTGTTGTATCGCGCGTTGACGCGCTACCATTGCGACCGCGCTCCATTGCTATAGGTGGGAACGAAGGCATAGGCGGGCATCGATCGGCGCCCGTCCTGCGAGAGAGTATGCGAGAACAGGAGGGAACGCTTTCCTCGATAACGCGATCTGGTACCTTCCAATCTTAATCCTACCGAAACAGTAGGTGCCAGCGCTGATCGATGCGAGTCTGTGATAAATCAACGCGCACCCTCCTTTTCTCCCATGCTCTCTCAAGGCAGCACTGTCCGGCATCAATCGATACCCGTCCATGGCTACGTTCACGTCGGCGCAGTTTCGCGACAGGGGAGGGGCATTTTGTGCTATCATTGCTTCCTTAAGTTCCGGTTTACATGTCGCCACTCTGGCCAAACCTGTGAACTCTTGTGAAGCTGGAACTCGTCAAGTCATCATGTTAAAACCTGTCAACTCGAGAAGAGGCTGTCTAGATAAGTCGACACGTCGATGGGAAGTAGCAAAAGTGCAAAATGCCCTCCCCCACTCGTCGTCAAACGGCGCCGTTTTCGTCTTTGGCATGGAGCGTGGTTGCAACGGTAGTGCGTCGACGCCTGTCACGGCGTGTTGTCGCGCGTCATCGCGAATTCTGAACGCTCCCTCATTATATTAGCTTAGATCACCTTTCTTGAAGCTTGGTAGATTTCTGTTTTCTTGAAAGACCCAGAAAAATACGATTTACGCCAAAACGTTAGCCTTATGAAGGTCCTTATCTCGATAGGTTAAGCTATTATGCAGCCACGACTGCTTCAATATTGACAGGGTGGGTCATAGATCAAATGACCACGTGGTAGAAGTCACTATTTTCAGTTTGGATCAGCATTTTTACTGACCTTTCAAGGGGTATAGTTGGCTTTCAGAAATATTGAATGCTTATTTTCAGAATGTGTAAAGATGATGCGACCAGTTCAAAAGTACATCAAGAAGTTGGCAGAATCTAGTGGAGAGAAAGAATCGGCTAAATATTTGATGAGGCTCGGTGATAATTGTAGGGACCAACTTGACGAATTATTGAAAAGGTAACAAAGTTGTGGCTCTCTCGTGTATTCTTTTGGGCAACTACGAATCCTTTTCATTTCCTTCCATTCTTCAGGAAGCCAAAGACAAACGTGCGCAAATGGTATAACTACATGTGGATCTTTTTGTCGAAATTCGTGTCCCAAGAGCCCATGGAAATGCTGGAAAAGTATCGTGAGCTGTGCGCTGCGGTAAGAATAGTTCTGAAAAAACAAATACAATCTTGTTCGCTGCAGATGCTAGTGCTTGTTAGGGGGGAGCCTGTTCGGTGTGGCACCAACACGTTCTTCACCAGTTGTGGATGCTTGCAAGCGACCTAACCGGCTAAATGGGGTGTCTCCGCTTCAGACACAGCCCCACCCCTCTGACAAGCCCTAGCCCCCGTGGCGAACAAGACTGTACGTTGCTCAGCTTTGGTCTGTATCTGTGAAGATATTAACTAATATGACGATTAATTTTCCTGCTGTTCTACTTTCCAATTTTATTCCAATTTAGAACCGACATAAACATCGCGAACACAACCATATCCAAAAAACCAGTGCGCCGCAAAAGCATGATGGGGAGAAACGAAAGGACAAG